TGGAGAGTTCTTTGGTCTTGGCCATGGTGGAGTGTTTGGGATCTGATTGATTGATTGCTTCTGTGAACAGGTGTCTTTTATATAGGTAACAAGCTGAGATTAGGAGCACTCCCTTTAAGAGTGTGCTCCTAATCTCAGCTCATTACCTGTATAAAAGACACCTGGGAGCCAAAAATCTTTCTGGCTGAGAGGGGGTCAAATACTTATTTCCTTCATTAAAATGCAAATCAATTTATAACATTTTTGATATGCGTTTTTCTGGATTTTGTTGTTGTTATTCTGTCTCTCACTGTTCAAATAAACCTACTATTAAAACTATAGACTGATCATTTCTTTGTCAGTGGGCAAACGTACAAAATCAGCAGGGGATCAAAAACTTTTTTTCCCTCGCTGTATCAATAATAAAAAGCCTAGTATGAAATTATAACAGAAAGTTCACTATTCTTCTGTAAATCTTGACGAGCAATCTTTACTTATCAAAAGTGAAAATTTTACAACATAAGTAACAAGTATTTGGAGCAATTGAAACGCACATATCAACTTGATTATGATAGGGAAATAAAAAAATGCATAAATAATAGCTAAAATAATTACAATTACAAAGACTTGACAAATACCTTCTAAATAATTTGTTACACAGCTACTACGCTTTTATTATATTTTGGGATAACCAATTTTTTTAAATCTATATTTCGCAATTACATGTACATGTCATTTATGTACTTATCTTCCCTTCGACTAATATACTCTCACCAAGAATAGAAGTTGCCATAGGAAGGTGAATTTTTTTTATGAGTTTTGGTATACTTTTCATCACTTTGCAGCCAACTGTTCTTAAAAAAGCACTTCAACACGGATAATAGAAGAAAGAGCTAGCAATACGGATTTTGCAATTATACTCAAAATACTTGCAAATGTTCTACACTTCATGGCAAACTTAAATTACATAATCCACATTTTCCCTTCTTCTACTAACGATTTACAATAATTTAGACATACATTTTATCACACAAATCAACTTTTATTAAACTTAAACATTTTAAAGCAACTCATTATGCATACAAATATTAAAGGAGCGCCCCACGGTTTTATGTTTTAGTTACAAATGTCGAAGAATATTCTGATCAGCTGGTGACGGCTAAACATTTTTTTTTTCACTTTTCAGTGCAATAAAAAATTCAACCGTTGTTTTTTAAAACTTTTTTTAAAGGAGTTGATATGTTTTTTGTGTGCAAGGTGTGGTTCGTGCTGAAGCGTTATAATTTGTGCAGCTTCTCCCGGGCGGGATTGTATCAGCTCTGGGTTGGCCAAGATTGGGTTTCAATAAAAACTCCAAGCAACCACCACAGCCAGGAGAGATAGTCATCGGCACAGCTTATCAGCCTCTTAAAAAAAAAACGTTTATTTTTTTTAACTGTACAAAAAACGACGTATATACATCATTGTATAGATAGTACTCTTTGGTTCTTTCGGTAAAGTCACGTAGGTAGAAATAAAATAAAATAAATTCTACCTTCGTGACTTTACCGAAAGCACCAAAGAGTATGGATTCCTGCAGTCACGAAAGCTTCCAATCAAGATTGTATAGCTTGTGTATTAGAAAGTAAATATTGTGCAATTGCGTACATATATACAAATCATGAACTTATTTATGAACACTAACTTGCAAACAATATAGAGAAGGCTAACGTTTCAAGTAATACCCCTTTCTCTAGAGCAGAGCATCGGGTGAGCGCAGAAAGGCAGTGGAGACAGTGTGACACACTGTGACACACTGTGACACACTGCACACTGTGACACACTGTGACACTGTGTGTCACTGTGACACACTGCACACTGCACAGTGTGTCACAGTGTGACACTGTGACACACTGTGACACACTGTGACACACTGCACAGTGTGTCACTGTGACACACAGTGTGACACACTGTGACACACTGTGACACACTGCACACTGTGACACACTGACACACTGTGACACACTGTGACACTGTGTCACTGTGACACACTGCACACTGCACAGTGTGTCACAGTGTGACACTGTGACACACTGTGACACACTGTGACACACTGCACAGTGTGTCACTGTGACACACTGTGACACACTGTGACACACTGTGACACACTGTGTCACTGTGACACACAGTGTGACACACTGTGACACACTGTGACACACTGCACAGTGTGACACACTGTGACGCACTGTGACGCACTGTGACACTGTGACACACTGACACACTGTGTCACTGTGACACACAGTGTGACACACTGTGTCACTGTGACACACTGTGACACACTGCGTGTCACAGTGTGTCACACAGTGTGTCACAGTGTGTCACACAGTGTGTCAGAGTGTGTCACAGTGTGTCACAGTGTGTCACACAGTGTGTCAGAGTGTGTCACACTGTGACACACTTCGTCACAATGCACACACTGCGGACCAGTGCAGCATTTTTTCTTCAACTAAACATTTGTGAGATGCATTTGAGGGAAACAAATCTGGATAATGATGAAGTGTGGCGACAGCCTTCAGGGTCATTGGTCTCGACTGACTCCAGTGCCCTCGACCCTGGCCTTGACTGTTGGCCTCATGAGCTTTGGCCTATAAAGTGCAGTCTCGAATCATAGCGCGTACTCTGCCGATTACAGCAGAATCAATAATTAAACAAACTAGAATATCGATGCTGCCATGTAATTATCAAACCAGCAATCACCCCGAAAAACATGTTTCAATTGTCAAGGGCTTGGCATTTATCACTGTCATGATTTGAGATCGGTGTTTCATATTTCGTGAATAATAGAACATTTAGAATAATAAAACGAACGCGAACGATCGCAATTATGAGATTATCGTGAATCGTATGTCACCCCCATATCACATCAACCAGAGTTATAACTATTGGGGTGTTGTAGTACTTTTTGTTCTAAGCATTTGTAAAATAAAAAGGATTATTTAGCAATGTCAGCATTCACAAAGGGGTAAGAAAAACAGATCAATAAGAATGTATTTTTTTAAATCTCGGCACAATTGATTTTATTCAACGCGATCTACAACTTTTTTTACAAAGTGAATGTATTTAGTAATTGTAATCAATTATCGTTCAGACCCTCTGGAAAGTTCCAACACGCACGCGATATAATAACAGTGGTAATCGTGCTGGGGTTAAAAACCGCCGACGTCAGCCGTAGCCGAGAATCGAATGCGGGTTGACCAGCTTCGTAGGGCAGGCCGCTAACCTCTGCACCGCTGCTCCAATTCTAAAACCCGCTCGGCGGCCCACATGTCCAGCGCTTGGGGATCCAGGCTACCCAGTGTGCCGGCGTGCGTGTGTGTGTGTGTGTGCTGGACCCGGCGTGTGTGTGTGCTAGACCCGGCGTGTGTGTGTGTGCTGGACCCGGCGTGTGTGTGTCTGGACCCGGCGTGCGTGTGTGTGTGTGCTGGACCCGGCGTGTGTGTGTGTGCTGGACCCGGCGTGTGTGTGTGTGCTGGGACCCGGCGTGTGTGTGTGTCTGGACCCGGCGTGTGTGTGTGTGTGCTGGACCCGGCGTGTGTGTGTGTGCTGGGACCCGGCGTGTGTGTGTGTCTGGACCCGGCGTGCGTGTGTGTGTCTGGACCCGGCGTGCGTGTGTGTGTGTGCTGGACCCGGCGTGTGTGTGTGTGCTGGACCCGGCGTGTGTGTGTGTGCTGGACCCGGCGTGTGTGTGTGTGCTGGACCCGGCGTGTGTGTGTGTGCTGGACCCGGCGTGTGTGTGCTGGGACCCGGCGTGTGTGTGTGTCTGGACCCGGCGTGTGTGTTGGACCCGGCGTGTGTGTGTGTGCTGGGACCCGGCGTGTGTGTGTGTGTGTGCTGGACCCGGCGTGTGTGTGTGTGCTGGGACCCGGCGTGTGTGTGTGTGCTGGGACCCGGCGTGTGTGTGTGTGCTGGGACCCGGCGTGTGTGTGCTGGGACCCGGCGTGTGTGTGTGTCTGGACCCGGCGTGTGTGTGTCTGGACCCGGCGTGTGTGTGTGTGCTGGGACCCGGCGTGTGTGTGTGTGTCTGGACCCGGCGTGTGTGTGTGTGCTGGGACCCGGCGTGTGTGTGTGTCTGGACCCGGCGTGTGTGTGTGCTAGACCCGGCGTGTGTGTGTGTGCTGGGACCCGGCGTGTGTGTGTGTGTGTGTCTGGACCCGGCGTGTGTGTGTGTGCTGGGGACCCGGCGTGTGTGTGTGTGTGTCTGGACCCGGCGTGTGTGTGTGTGTGTCTGGACCCGGCGTGTGTGTGTGTGTCTGGACCCGGCGTGTGTGTGTGTCTGGACCCGGCGTGTGTGTGTGCTGGGGACCCGGCGTGTGTGTGTGTGCTGGGACCCGGCGTGTGTGTGTGTGTCTGGACCCGGCGTGTGTGTGTGTGTCTGGACCCGGCGTGTGTGTGTGTGTCTGGACCCGGCGTGTGTGTGTGCTGGGGACCCGGCGTGTGTGTGTGTGCTGGGACCCGGCGTGTGTGTGTGTCTGGACCCGGCGTGTGTGTGTGTGCTGGGACCCGGCGTGTGTGTGTGTGTCTGGACCCGGCGTGTGTGTGTGTGTCTGGACCCGGCGTGTGTGTGTGTCTGGACCCGGCGTGTGTGTGTGCTGGGGACCCGGCGTGTGTGTGTGTGTGCTGGGACCCGGCGTGTGTGTGTGTCTGGACCCGGCGTGTGTGTGTGTGCTGGGACCCGGCGTGTGTGTGTGTCTGGACCCGGCGTGTGTGTATGCTGGGGACCCGGCGTGTGTGTGTGTCTGGACCCGGCGTGTGTGTGTGTCTGGACCCGGCGTGTGTGTGTGTGCTGGGACCCGGCGTGTGTGTGTGTCTGGACCCGGCGTGTGTGTGTGCTGGACCCGGCGTGTGTGTGTGTGCTGGACCCGGCGTGTGTGCTGGACCCGGCGCGTGTGCTGGACCCGGCGTGTGTGTGTGTCTGGACCCGGCGTGTGTGTGTGTGCTGGACCCGGCGTGTGTGCTGGACCCGGCGCGTGTGCTGGACCCGGCGTGTGTGTGTGTGCTGGACACAGCGTTTGCGTGTTTCCAGTGTGAGATCGCAACGTCGGGCACGTGGCGGGCTGCGGTACTTCCGCGCGCGCTTTATCAGAGCTCTTGCAGGAGGCTGTCTCCGCCCACGGCCATTTCTCATAGCGAGCAAACAAACCACAGGGACCAGTTAGGGGGGGGGGACGAGGGGCGCACGAGGTTAGAAAGGGATCACCAACATAATTGTAGCGATCACTCCACCACACTCATATTCGGCACGCAATTTTGTTGCTCTGAAGTTGGAAATATTTGCCGGGATAGTTGAAAACGCTGACCTGACCTTACACTTCACAACCACGCCTCTTGACACGACTGCCCATGGTGAGTTATGTATTCACCCAGTGCGTCGTGGAGTGCCAGTTCTGAGCATCCTCTGAAATTCGTGAGACGGAGCAGCGCGGACTGTCTTCTCTCCGAGATCCTCCTCAAGAGGTCCCAGCAGAAAAAGAAGCTCTCCCCCCTCAACTACAAAGAGCGCCTGTTCGTCCTCAACAAATCTTCTCTTTGCTACTATGAGTGCAACCCCACGAGCCAGGTGAGCAAGTCGTTGCTGCATGTAGCTCCTGTTCGACTCATGGGGAACGCCGGCCTGATGTCCTTCAACAATGGATCGGCGTTTAGGATTGTCACCGGTTGGGATCTGTGTTCGGGTAGCAGGAATTGGTTTGTCGCGAGATCTGGTACCGGTATTGCTATGTGGAACTTTGTTAGAGTAAGACTGCACAGTTTTAAAAGTACACCTGGGCTGAATTACAAACATGTTCGTGCTTCGTCTGTGGAAAGGGGGAAGTTAGTGTAACTATACGGATAAAGTCATGGTGACTCTATGTCAACGTTCTTGGTTGTCAATACAACAGTTACCATTGATACATGTTTTCGTGGCTATACAATGAGCAACTTTAAAAGATTGGTACTTCGATTTCTCGAGCTTATCAGCTTTGCAAGATCATTGTGACAAAAACGTTGTACGCACAATGGCTGTTTTAAGACTATGTCAAATGATTGCAGCACTGATCCTGAATAAGAAAATGTCCTACAATCATGAAACAATCTCAGTGGATTAAACGTAAACAATAATATTGTGAGCGCAGCTAGATGTTACGAGTGTACGAGTGTGTTTGTTTTGAGCGGGTTGTACTCCACACTGGAGACTGGCGACCAGAAAGTCGACCTCGGCGGGAGAGCGACTTGCTCACCATCGGAGGGTCGCGAGTTAAAATCCTGGTTGGTGATTGACCCAGCCCATCATCCCTCCGGGGGTCGATAATACAAAATAAGTAACCACTTGTGGGAAAGTCGACAGTGGTTGTCCTATGGAGAGACTCACTCCTGCCATAGGAATGTGGAATGTCCACTGCTGGCTCGAGGCTGTAAACAGGTGGCGAGCACTTGCCTCAATGCTCATTTCAGCAGAACATGACAACGGTGGTGTTTACAGTCGCCTACTTGGTAACGCCGTTCTAACTCATGGATGGGCACGGCGTTATTAAAATAGTGATGCCCCAATGGTACCGCCCCACGCAGTGAGGCCTACCTGGCGTCACAGAAGACTTTAGCTGTCTATGACAATAACTCTGGTAGTCATTTGCACTTCAAAAGTGATTGCTGTAGCATTTAATTCCTATTCAAACCATCACCTACTCTGTTCTCCATTGCTCTCTCTTTCTCATCTCTATGTGTTGTATATAATACTCTAAATACAATGCAGTACTCTGTGTAGTGTATAAAACACTCTATGTAGTGTATACAATACTCTATATGTATTGTATATAAATACAATACCCTATATATTGTATGCAATTCTCTATGTATTGTATACAATACTCTAAATACAATACTTTATGTATAGTATACAATACTCTAAATACAATACTCTATGTATTGTATGCTATTAATACAACACCCTACTTAAATACAATACCCTATATCGTGTGTACAATTCTCTATGCATTGTATACAATACTCTAAATACAATATTTTACGTATTGTTTACAATACTATAAATACAATATAATATGTATTGTATATTATACTCTAAATACAATATAATATGTATTGTATACTATACTCTAAATACAATACTCAATGTATTGTCTACTATACTCTATGTATTGTATACAATTTTTTATGTATTGTATACAATACTCTAAATACAATAATCTAAGAATTGTATACTATACTCGAAGTACAATACTCTATGTATTGTATAATATACTCTAAATACAATACTCTATGTAAAATATGCAATATTCTAAATACAATACTCTATGCAGCATTGATAAGTGGAGGGATGGCTATGGCCTGCGTCGGCAACCGAAATGACAAGAGGAGACATTTCTTATAAGAGGAGACATTTCTTACACCAAGAGGAGACATTTCTTACAACAAGAGGAGACATTTCTTATAAGAGGAGACATTTCTTATAAGAGGAGACATTTCTTACAACAAGATGAGACATTTCTTATAAGAGGAGACATTTCTTATAACAAGAGGAGACATTTCTTATAAGAGGAGACATTTCTTACAACAAGAGGAGACATTTCTTATAACAAGAGGAGACATTTCTTATAAGAGGAGACATTTCTTATTACAAGAGGAGACATTTCTTACACCAAGAGGAGACATTTCTTACAACAAGAGGAGACATTTCTTATTACAAGAGGAGACATTTCTTATAAGAGGAGACATTTCTTACAACAAGAGGAGACATTTCTTATAAGAGGAGACATTTCTTATAAGAGGAGACATTTCTTATAACAAGAAGAGACATTTCTTATAAGAGGAGACATTTCTTACAACAAGAGGAGACGTTTCTTACAACAAGAGGAGACATTTCTTATAAGAGGAGACGTCTCTTACAACAAGAGGAGACATTTCTTATAAGAGGAGACATTTCTTCTAACAAGAGGAGACATTTCTTATAAGAGGAGACATTTCTTATAAGAGGAGACATTTCTTATAACAAGAGGAGACATTTCTTACAACAAGAGGAGACATTTCTTATAACAAGAGGAGACATTTCTTATAAGAGGAGACATTTCTTACAACAAGATGAGACATTTCTTATAAGAGGAGACATTTCTTATAACAAGAGGAGACATTTCTTATAAGAGGAGACATTTCTTATAAGAGGAGACATTTCTTACACCAAGATGAGACATTTCTTACAACAAGAGGAGACATTTCTTACACCAAGATGAGACATTTCTTATAAGAGGAGACATTTCTTACACCAAGAGGAGACATTTCTTACAACAAGAGGAGACATTTCTTACAACAAGAGGAGACATTTTTTATAAGAGGAGACATTTCTGAGAACAAGAGGAGACATTTTTTTTTATAACAAGAGGAGACATTTCTCCAACCCAGCTTAAATATACGTTCCAAGCTTGGTGGTGTTTCATTCTTCACCTGAGGACGGCTTCTTGCGTTGTGGCCGAAACGTCGTGAGAATTATTTTATTATGTTTTATTATTATTATTTTATTACTTCCCTTCTACGTGACTTTACCGAAAGAACCAAGAAGAGGAGACAGGGAAATAGAGTTTTCAGGTCCATATGTCGTACAGCCGTTTCAATACGGGCAAAAAATATATATTTGTTCGTGTTTCTCCCTTGTGATGGCACTTTGTAGGATGAACGTTGATATTTATAAGGACACAGGGTGACCAATAAGGTCTGAATTTGCCTGTAATTAGGTAGGCACTGATTAGGGGTTTACAGGTATGCCTGAGTCAGTGCTTAAAGAACTGCAGGTTGCCGACCCCGAGGTGGATGAGGGGAAGGCGGTGCACATATGCCACATCTGTCCCTCCAATTAAAACAAATGATTGGTGTGTTTTGTTCGTAAGATGAACACACTGACAGAGCACATGGAAGGTTACGGTGTACACAGTACAAAGGCACAGGTTCGCCAGATTCCACATAACGACGAAGGTATTCTCGCGTCCACTGCACACACTGCAATGTTTGAGGAAAACCTATTATAACATTTCTGAACTCACAATACTCATGAGTGTAGTGTGGATAAAACGAATACTTTATCAGCATAGTGCATAACATAATGTGTTTAGCTACTTATTCTGTTCGTATGCATGTATATGTATGTTGAACTTCTTTCGCACCATAAGTAGCCAACCGTGCTAACTGGAGGTGCTAATATTCCCTGTAGAGACGTTCCTGATTATTTTGTGCTCTGTATAGTGAATGCCTTTTTGCTAAGCTTCTGGATTTCTTGAGCCATCACTGCGCAGGTGACTTTATAATAATATGATTAACGTCAAACCATCCTCTCCCTCGTTCCACAGAAAATCGGAAGCCGAAAGGGATGCATTCTGCTGTCCCGCATCCGCTGCGTGGACCGCGTGCTGACCACCCCCTACACCAGCCCAGAGAAGCGCTTCCCCTTCCAAGTGAGGAGCCCCTTCACATCCAACACGAGGGCCCAATACACAAGCACCCGCAAGAGGCCATCACAGACACCCGCCTTGGCTTGACAGACACACTGCCAGTAAACAACGGCAGTAGAAATCCCTCAAGAGATGTGACTGCTCGACTCGACCGATGTGTGCTTTGATATTTGCATTGTCTTTGTGCTGTTTGTCTGTTGGCGTTCTCTGGTCGAACACCGGTGAGACGAGGCCATTCAGGACACTGTAGCTCTGGTGTAGGCCAATTAGTTTCAAGGACAATGCATGCACTATTATCAGAGCTTGTTTGTTTGCATGTTTTACCACAGACATGCGTGGTTAATGCAGACTGAATACCTTGTGATGGGTGTCTAGTTACTCTTTGGTTCTTTCGGTAAAGTCACGTATAAAGATAAAATAATAAATTAAATAATAGCATACGACGTTTCGATTGCAACACAAGCAATCATCATCAGGTATAAAAGAAATAGCAACACAAATCTAACCAGAAAACTATAGACAGACATATAAGCAGACAGATATCACAGAGATACATAGAGAGAGAGCACACATCAGCACACAGAGAGAGAACGTCTCTGTGACGAGGCCTTAAATAGAGAGAGGGGGTGGGGGCGGAGAGAGGGAGGTGTTGCAATCGAAACGTCGTATGCTATTATTTAATTTATTATTTTATCTTTATACGTGACTTTACCGAAATAACCAAAGAGTAATTCCTGCAGTCACGAAAGCTCCAAATTAAGATTTAACCACTTCTACGGGGAAGTTTTAAGTTTATCTTTTTCTCTCTCTCTGGATTTTTTGTTCTCTCTCTCTGCCTGTGTAGCGATCTTCGTGTTTGTGTCTTTCAAATTTCACACTTAACTTGTAACTTAGCAATCTTTGAAATAGGTAATCAACCAGACTATGCGTTAATTGTGTGTTGACCGACTCTATGTGTTGCATTACATTACATTTCGATATTTTGATAGGTTATTTAATTTAGTGTGTCTCTCACCCACTCTCCTAATTTTCAGGCTTGCGTACCTTACCACGCGTCATCCTACTCATTGACATGCTAATTTTTCTCTAACCCCTCCCTCTCTCCGCCCTGACCCCCTCTCTCTATTTAAGGCCTCGTCACAGAGACGTTCTCTCTCTGTGTGCCGATGTGTGTTCTCTCTCTATATATCGTTGTGATATCTGTCTGCTTATATGTCTGTCTATAGTTTTCTGGTTAGATTTTTGTTGCTATTTCTTTTATACCTGATGATTGCTTGTGTTGCAATCGAAACGTCGTATGCTATTATTTAATTTATTATTTTATCTTTATACGTGACTTTACCGAAAGAACCAAAGAGTAATTCCTGCAGTCACGAAAGCTCCAAATTAAGATTGGGTGTCTAGTTGTCTAGTTGGTGTTTAGACATTGTAACGCCTCCCATATTTCTGCCGGAAAGGGGTAAAGCATATTATATGGATTTTTAATCATCTTGATACTGATAAATAGGGTCTCATAGATATAATCCTCAATGTTATAAGAGAACAGGGTTGTTAAAATCGTATATATTTTTCCATTCCCGGTAACCGAATGAAAAAAAAAGAAAACAACTGGTTGTTACCAGGTTTAAGCAGATATAGAAATGTCCAGAGCAATAAAAACATCCATACCTTTTTAACTAAGACACTAAGGTGACTGCTACGGCGGTGTAATGGTGTGCACACTTGAATTGCCATCCAGCGTGAAAGAGTAGACTAAAAAATACCCTCTTTGGAGTCCCCTCCAGAGGAAGCCCTTCCACCATTCAACTCAGACACGAGGGCGGGTTGGGCCTTCACCCGTGCATCGCAGTGCCTTCAAGACTCTAATTCCAGTGGAAATAGTCACGGGTTCATGACTTTCACAACTGGTATTCGATTTTTTTAAACACTTTTACCAATTTACTAGTTGTCTGTAACAGGCCGGCAACATCCCATCACCACCTCCACGTGGTGCCGGCTGGATTCCAACCAACAGTGAGGGTCTTTGGCGTCAGATGGAGCGACCCACCGGCCAAAGTATTTCTGTGTCGCATCTATGGCAACGTCAAATCAACTTTGAACAAGCTAGGGCGCCCCCCGGGGGAAACGCGCGCCGTCCTCGCCCAAACGACGCGAGAAGTGGACGAGGGCTACCTGCTCATGGACGGGGCAGGCTAAAGAAGTTAGTCCGACTACGACTGGGAACACTCAACATCGGAACATTGACAGGGAGAAGTCGAGAATTGTCAGCTGCCCTAAAGGCCCGTCGTATCGACATCGTATGCATCCAAGAAACGAAGTGGAGCGGAGCAAAGGCCAGAGAGATTGGAGAAGGATACAAACTGTTCTACAACGGTGAAAGAACCACCAAGAACGGCGTTGGAATCGCAGTCAGCCAAAATCTACGAGATAACGTCGTGGCCGTCCACCGTGTTTCCGACCGCCTCATGTCCATCGAAATCGACTCAAACGACCTATGCCTCAGGGTCGTATCTTGTTATGCGCCGCAGTCTGGCTGCCCAGCAGATACCAAGGAGGAATTTTGGGAACAATTTGATGGACACATGCAATCGATAAACGGAGAAGAGCAGTTAGTAATTGGTGGAGACCTAAATGGACACGTTGGAAACGCCCGGGATGGATACCTTCGAAACCATGGTGGCCAAGGATATGGTACCCGGAACGATGAGGGAAATCGAGCCCTGGACTTTGTGGAAGCCCATGATCTTGTCCTCGCCAACACCTTCTTCAAGAAGAGACCGTCCCATCTCATTACGTACGCCAGTGGTGGGAGATCAACTCAAATTGATTACTGGCTTGTCAAGCGGAATAAGCTGAAAACGGTGACAAACACTAAAGTCATACCATCGGACAACATCACCCCACAACATCGCATCCTGGTCATGGACATGAAAATGGACATTGGCCAGCGACATCGCCCACCAACAATGGGACAGCAGCGAATTAAGTGGTGGCGGATGAAGGAATGCAAGGATTAGTTGAGAGTCACCCTCAATCAGATTGACGTGAACACCAATCGACCAGCGAATGCGATTTGGGAAGATCTCGCCTGGCCAACTGTGCACAGCAGCAACGGAAGCACTGGGGCTAATTAAGCCGGGAAAACGCTTCATTGACACGCACATATGGTGGTGGAACGAAGAAGTGCAGCTAGCAGTGAAAGAGAAGAAGCTAGCTTTCAAGAAGTGGCGCCAAAACGCTCGCAGATCTGGATTACCAACACTACAGAAACTGCAAATCGGCAGCAAAGCGAGTAGTAGCAGCGGTGAAATTAGCTCAATACGACCAACTGTATGTCGAACTGGACACCCCAGAAGGTGCCAATAAGATCTATCGACTGGCAGAGGCGCGCCATCGTTCGACTCAGGATATTGGTCAGGTTAAATGCATAAAGGATGAGAATCACAGCGCTCTCAGAGACCCGCCCGCCATCCTTCAACGCTGGAGCGACTACTTCTCTGGAATCTGCAACCAGGAATTTCCCCACCCACCGATTATTAGCGCTGAACACGTCCTCGGTCCCGTTTTGTCTATCATCATTATCGAAGTGGAACAAGCTATCAAGAGAATGAAGAATGGGAAAGCGACTGGCCCGGACGATATCCCTGCTGAGGCCTGGAAGATCCTTGGCAGGCAGGGTGCTGCCCTTCTTATCCAGCTCTTCAGCACCATCACGAGCACCGGTGAGGTCCCAGAAGCCTGGTCGACCAGCACGACGGTTCCAATTTGGAAGGGTAAAGGGGACGTGGCAGAATGCTCGAATTACAGGCCAATCCGGCTCCTGTGTCATGCGATGAAGATTTTTGAGCGAGTTTTGGACACGAGGATTAGAAACATCATCACCCTATCACCCAACCAATGTGGCTTCGTCAAAGCATGTGGCACTATGGACGCCATTTTCGCGGTGAGGCTCCTGCTGGAGAGGCACAGAGAGAAGAACAAATCTGTGCATGTGTCTTTCCTAGACCTTGAAAAGGAATTTGACAGGGTCCCCCACGACCTCATCTGGCACTCGCTTCGATCCCATGGAGTCCCTGAAACCTACGTGCATTGGGTGCAACTCCTATACAAGAACGTCACCAGTGCAGTCAGGTGCGCAGTGGGCATATCACCGCCATTTCTCATCAGCGTTGGAGTGCACCAAGGATCGGCCCTGTCACCACTCCTGTTTATCCTGTGCATGGACACGATCACTGCTGACCTGCACACGCCCCTGCCATGGTCAATTCTCTATGCGGATGACGTCCTCCTCTCAGATGAAGAGAGAGGAGATGTGGAAAGACAAACGCGCCTGTGGAAGGAACGTTTGGACGAAAACGGGATGAGGTTCAACATCAAAAAGACGGAGTATATGGAGTGTGGCCCCCAAACCGACGGCACCATCAGCATTGACAGAGAAGATCTGAAGAAAGTGACGGACTTCAAGTACCTGGGCTCCACCATCAGCTCAGATGGAAGCATCACGACTGATGTGAGGTCACGAGTCAATGCGGCATGGATGAAGTGGAGGCAAGTCACTGGAGTCCTCTGTGATTGGAAAATGCCGGATAGGCTGAAGAGAAAAATTTACAAGACCATCGTCCGACCGGTGGCACTCTATGGATCCGAGTGCTGGCCAGCCACAACTGTACACGAACAAGCCCTCCATACCATGGAGATGAGGATGCTCAGATGGAGCCTTGGAAGGACTCAATGGGATCGTGTCATGAACGAAGACGTTCGGAAGCGACTTGGTGTGGCCCCCATTGCGGACAGGATGCTTGAGGCAAGGCTTCGGTGGTACGGCCATGTGATGCGAAGTGAAGAGTCATCAGTGGCCAAGACTGCCATGCGTATTGAGCCAGAGGGCCACCGTCCACGCGGATGTCCGAAGAAGTGATGGATGGATCGAATAAAGGAAGACATGAAGACGGTCAACGCATCCCCCGAAGATGCCTTGGACCGAGCCAAATGGAGAAGACAAT